GACAAGTGGGAGATTTGAGATTTAAGGTTATAAAGGTGGCGGGTGGACTATGTGGGGGTGGGGAAGCAGTCTGCCAAGGCACAACTCGGCCTAGTGCACTTGGGGCCCCGAGACAGTCAGCAGTCGGGATAGGGTATGCCCACCTGGCCATGCCCACCAAAGGCCTCTGGATGGCAAGACAGATCCTCCTCCCTGACTCAGCTCCTGACCCCAGAACCCCACCCAGGCCATGCCTCCCCTGACGCCTGTCCTTCTCCCATCCCAGAGAAAGGCCACAGTGGTGCCGGTGCTTGCCAGCGTGGGCCCACTGGACCTGCAGAGCCTCAAGCCCAACCCTGAGGAGGTGAATGGGGGACTCGGGTGCTGGGCTGTTCCCTGGGGGAGGCTGCAGCGGCCAGCCCTCCCTCCACCCTCTCTCTGCCTCCTGCTCACAGGTAGATGAGGTGTTTGTGCTGCCCCTGGCACACCTGCTGCAGACACAGAATCAGGGCTATACCCACTTCTGCCAGGATGGCCACTTCCGTTACACACTGCCCGTCTTCCTCCACGGACCACACCGAATCTGGGGGCTTACAGCTATTGTCACCGATTTCACCCTGCAGCTGCTGGCCCCTGGCGCCTACCAGCCCCGCCTGATCAGCCCGGAGCTGCCCCTCGGCTGAAGGCCTGTCGCTCAGTCACTCCCGCCTTCCTTCGAGGCCCTCCAGGACTGAATAAAGGGTCTTTGACAGCTCTGTTCCTGCCTCTTCTGTGTGGAGGCCCTGACTTTGGGCATGCCCCTGAGGCCACTGGAAGGGCTCCTCAGTCCAGTCGCACTGTCCCTATGTAGGGAACAGTTCCTGTGTGCCAGGTGGTGGAGCCATTTCATTTCGCCCTCAACAGTCCTCTGGCTGATGAGATTGGAGCTGGGGGTGGGGGCATGGATTCCTTGCTCCAGCCTCCGAAGGCTGGGACAGGAGTGTCAGGCTGCTGTGCTGTGCATGCCCCCCCACCCCACCTCATGTTCCCTGTGCCTGGCTCACCCCTGTTGGGCTTTGGGAGTCCAGAGAGGGATGTGGAGGCCCCACTCTCTGGATGTCACTGTGCAGTTCCAACTTGCTAAGACCCTGCTGCAGGCCAGGTGTTGTGTGGAGGCCATGTCTGTGCTTCAGCCAGAACCTGCCCTGCCCTTCAGAGGCAGTCACATGGACAACAGTGGGACTGTACCTTAGTCAATAATAGTGGAATTATACATCAATTATGTAGACCAGGATTCTGTAAGACAGTGAGGGCTGGACAATCTGAACTTTGCATGGTGGTATAGGAGGAATTCTTGGGCAGTACCAGGACAAGTAATAGAAAACTCCATTCACTAGCTAACTCTTCCTGAAGCGGACTGGCGATCACAAACTCCAGAAATAACTAGCTTCAGGTATGGCTGGGTCTAGGGGTTCAGGGTCTCTCCCTTTCTCTTTTAAACTGTGCAGGGGTTGTCTCTAGTCCAGAAACACAAGAGATGAAAGGGCAACAGCTCCCTATCAAAAGAAAACACCTCTCGCTGGGTGCAGTGCGTTCGCCTGTGATCACGAGTTCACAGCCAGCCTCAGCAAAAGCGAGGCACTTAGCAACTCAGTGAGACCCTGTCTCTAAATTAAATATAAAACAGGGCTGGGGATGTGGCTCTGTAGTTGAGCACCCCTGAGTTCAATCCCCAATAGCTCCTCCACCCCCACAAAAAATAAATAAAGAAAAAAAAAAAACACCTCTCCTGGCTGTCTAGCGCAGGGTTGCACTTGATTAGCCTCCCTGGTCACACGCCCTTTCCTGACCCCAGCACATGGCACGTGGGATTTAAAGTTTATGGATTGACAGGGCTGGGGGCGAATCCCCTGCACTGAAGGTAGAGAAGGGTGGCCCCTAAAGAACACCTGAGGGCACATCATTTAGACTCAGCTCTGAGACCTGAAGAGGTGAAACTACTAGAACACACACAGGAATCACTCCAGACGTTGGTCTGGGCGATGATTCTTTTATAGGACCCCAAAAGCTCGGGCAGCAGAACCAAAGATAGACAAATGGGACGACACCAAACCAAACGCTGCACAGCAAAGGAGAAAATCAACGTCGGGAGAAATGTGGGTGAGCCAGTTTGGTAAGGGGCTAAGGTTCTTCTCTACAGCAAGAAAACAAACAGCCCAATCCTAAAACAGACGTTCTTAAAAGAAGACATTGCAATGGATGTAGGGAAAAAATACTCAACATTCTGAGCACCAGGGACATGCAAGTCAAAACCACAATGAGATCTCACCTCAACCTGTTAAAATGGCAAATTTTGGGGGGGGCTGGGGATGTGGCTCAAGCGGTAGCGTGCTCGCCTGGCATGCGTGCGGCCCGGGTTCGATCCTCAGCACCACATACCAACAAAGATGTGTGTCCGCGGAGAACTAAAAAATAAATATTAAAATTCTCTCTCTCTCACTCTCTCTTTAAAAAAAAATGGCAATTTTTAAAAACATTTATTTTTTAGTTGTAGTGGGGCACAATACTTTTATTTTTTTATTTTTTATGTGATGCTGAGGATCAACCCCAGGGCCTCGCACGCACTAGGCGAGTGCTCTACCGCTGAGCCACAGCCTCAGCCCTAAAATGGCGATTTTTTAAAAATGAAAGAGGGCTGGGGCTGCAGGTCTGTGACAGGGCACTTGCCTAACGTGTGTGAGGCCCTGGGTTCCCTCCCTAGCACTGCAAAAAATAATAATAATAATAATAAAATAAAACCCCAAACAAACCACAAAAGAAGAGTCTGGAGCAAGTACAGAAAAGAAAACCTTTAAATACTCTGGGTGGGACCATAACTAATATGTATAGCCATTTTGGAAAACAGTATGGAGGTTCCTTGGAAACCAAAGGGAACTACCCTAGGACTTAGCACCCCCCTTCCAGGTACATACCCAAAGAAATCAAAACTGGTCTGTCAAAAAGATACGTGCCCAGGCTGGGATTGTGGCTCAGCTGTAGAGCACTCGCCTAGCACCTCGGGACCCGGATTTGATTCTCAGCACCACATAAAAATAAAGGCATTGTGTTGTGTCCATCTACAAAAAAAGATTCTCCCTCCCTCCCCCTCCCTCCCTCCCTCCCTCCCCCCCTCTCTCCCTCTCTCCTTTAAAAAAAAAAATGATGCGTGCCCCCATATTCACTGCCAATAGCCAGAACATGGAATCAACCTAATGAATGGATAAAGAAAATGTGTTTCATACACACATGGAGTATTTTTCATCTTTAACAGAGGCAATTCTGTCATTTGCACCAACACAGATGAAGCTGGAGGGCGTTATGATAAGCCAAATAAGCCAGGCAAAGAGTATGACACCATCTCCCTTTTATATGGAACCCAAGAAAGCTGAGCTGGGTGTGGTGGCTCAGGACTTGGGAGGCTAAGGCAGGAGAACTGCAATTCCATGGCCAGCTTGGGAAATGTTGTTTGACCCTGTCTCAAAATAAAAAAAATTAAAAAGTACTGGGACGTAGTTATAACAAGACATCCATTGAACCCCATAAATATCTACAATTGTTATTTCTTGGTTAAAAATTAAGAGACCAGGGGCTGAATGTGTGGCTCAGTGGTAGAACATTTGCCTGGCATATGTGAGACCCTGGGTTCTATCCTCAGCACCACATATAAATAGATAAATAAATAAAATAAAAGATCCATTGAAAAAAATACATGTGTGTTTATGGGGCTGGGATTGTGGCTCAGTGGTAGAGTGCTTGCCTCACATGTGTGAGTCACTGGGTTCAATTCTCAGCACCGTATATAAATAAATGAATAAAATAAAGGTCCATCAACCCTAAAAAATATTTTTAAAAATGTGTGTGTGTGTGTGTGTGTGTGTATATATATATATATATATAATTTTATATATATATATATATATAATTTTATATATATATATAAAATTTTATACATATATACACACACACATATATATACAATTACATACATATACATATAATTTTTTTAAAAGATTAAAAGATCAACCAGGAGGGGGATGCTGGGCAGTTAAAGCCAGGGAGTCAGGTAGGCAGGGGGCTAGGTCAAAGGTCAGTTCCGGCAGAAGGTGCTGCTGGGCAATGCAGGGAGTTGAAGGGAGGAAKAGCAGGTGGAGAAGGGAAGGGGATGGCTCACCACATAGAGGGCCACCATGGGATTAAGGAGCCCCTCCTTGGTAAGGAGACAAGGGACACCCTCAAGGATAGGTTAGGATTGTATTCCCAGCCAGGAGAGCGGGTAGAGGGGTGTCCAAGTGACCTTGAGCTGGCCACCTCTAGGGGTCTAATAGAGGGCATGCTCCCCTGCCCCCTGCTCCCCACATAAGCCCCCATCCCACCTTCCCTTGTGCCCCCTCTCCACCCCGCCGGTCTGTCCCCCAGGGCTCCCTCCTCCCCACCTGACCCTGCCTTCTCACCTCCCTCCTCCTCTCCTGCAGCCCTCACTTCCCATGCTCCTCGCCACCCCTTTCCTCACCTCCGGCCCTCCAGCCTCCTCACCTGAGAGCGGCCCGCCTGACCCTGGTAAAAATAACTCCTTTGACAGCGTGTGAACAGAGGGGCAGCGGGAGGGGGAGCTGAGCCCCAGCACTAGGGAGGGGCCCTTGGGGGTGAGGGCGGGAGGTGCAGGCTCCCGATTCTGAGTCCTTCTCCTGCTTTGTCACACCCCTGCCCAGACAGTCACCTCTGCCGTCCCAAGCGCACCCAGCGCCTGCAGCTGCGAACGAAGCCCCGTGGAGCAGCTCTAGGTTGGTGAGGAGCCCTGCGGGCTGCCTCCCGACACGCCCGTGCGCCCCAACTCGCCCCGACCCTCCAGGCTGGAGACCTTGACCTCAGGACCCCCGCTCTGCCCTAGGACGCCCCTGATGGCCTCAGCGATGCCTCCTCGCTCTGTCTCGGTGGCCTGGTGCGTTCCCCCAGTCCTCAGTCCGTCAGGGTCGCTCTGAGCCGGTCCGCATGTCCGAGCCCCCATGGAGGGCACGGCGCCCCCGGGCCGGCGGCGGCCACCGAGGGTGAGCATGCAGGAGCACATGGCCATTGATGTGAGCCCCGGCCCCATCCGGCCCATCCGCCGCATTTCCGACTACTTCCCGCACTTCTACGCGTTTGCTGAGCCCGCGCTGCACACTCGTGACCAGCGCGCTCCGGCCATCCTTTCTGCACCCCCGCCGCAGCCTGACCCAGAGCCACCGGGAGACTCAGACGACAGCAGTGAGTGTGTGTGGGGGGGGCCAAGGGGGTACCCCCAGGATGGTTTGGGGTGTCCCTAGCATTCCCGTGGAGGGGCCAGGCAGAAGGCACCATGCGTGGAGAGTGGGCAGGTGARCCGAGCTGGCTGCTGACCCTACCTGCCCCCTGCCGTAGCTGCGCTGGGCACCCTTGAGTTCACACTTCTCTTTGATGCGGACAACAGCGCCCTGCACTGCACTGCCCATCGCGCCCAGGTGAGGATGGGGCGGGGTCCCTGGGACAGGGGGCGGGGCCACAGGCTTACCCCACCTCCACTTTCTGTTCCCAGGGTCTCAAGCCACCGGCCTCAGGTTCTGTTGACACCTACGTCAAAGCCAATCTGCTGCCAGGGGCCAGCAAGGTGAGGGCAAGACCCAGGTCTCTACTGCTGCTCTCTGGCAGGTCCCACCCAGGGCACCCACCTGGCCCCAGTTTGTTCCAATCCCCAGGACTTAGACCTCAGTTGCTGGGATCAAGGAGGCAGGGCAGGGGGCCAGGGAAGGTTTCTGATCCACCCCACCTGGTATCCAGGCCAGCCAGCTTCGGACCCACACCGTTCGGGGTACAAGGGGACCTGTCTGGGAGGAGACACTCACCTATCATGGCTTCACCCGCCAGGATGCTGGGCGCAAGACCCTGCGGTGAGAATCCCTGGGCCACCTGGGGCAGGGTAGGGGGATGGGGTTTGACTGGCCAGGTTTGATACTGGTGGCCACCAGGCTGTGCGTGTGTGAAGACCCTCGGCTGCGGCGACGGCGGCGGGCACCACCCCTGGGGGAGCTGCGGGTGCCCCTGAGGAAACTGGTGCCCAACCGAGCCAGGAGCTTCAACATCTGCCTGGAGAAGCGGAGGCTGGTGAGGGGCTGGAGCACAGGGTGGCGCTGCACGGTACAGCGGCCTTGTGATGGGGTTGCTGGAGAGGGAGGAGCAGGGAGGGGGACCTGAGCAGTGTCCTGCTGAGGTAACTGGGCCCTGCTTTTCCAGACCAAGAGGCCCAAGAGCCTGGACACAGCCCGGGGCATGTCCCTGTATGAGGAGGTGAGATTGCTGAATGGAGGAGGGATGGGATGGGCAGGCCTGGAGGCCCAGGCTGCAGTGGGTCAGGCAGGACRTGGGTGGAGTGGGCAGGGGTCCTAGCCTAGGTGGGCTTGGAGGAATTTGCAGCCACCTCTCACAAGCTCTGTGAGCCCTTGTAACCCTGGGGAAGCCCGTGGCTGGGCAGGCTGGGGGGCACTGTCTGGCCATGGCAGCATGGAAGGGCTGGGGAACCCTGGGGCAAACCAGAAGCCCCTGAGGGCACAGCCAGACACAGACCTGGCAACTTTTAGGTAGAGGCAGGAAGCTGGAGGTGGAAGGGCTGGGCAAGGTGGGGGAGAGAACAGGCTCTGCCACCAGGGTCAGCATGGGTGCCATCCTGTGGCTGGCTGTCATTGACAGGCCCTTGTTAGGAGGCAGCAAAGGTAACCAGTGGGCTTCTTCGACCCCACCTGAGACCACAGACCTGGCCAGAACCCCTATGACCCTGCAGGGGAAGGCATCCCTGAGGCCTAGGGTGGGCCCTCCACCCACTCCTCTGGGAACAAAAGGGCCTGGCGCCCTGCCCCCTAGTGGAGACACGAGTTGCTGCAGTTGTGGATTAATTACACCCAGGTGGTGGTGGTGGACATCACCAAGCACCCTGCCATACCCACCTCCTGTCCCAGGGCCAATGTACAACACCACAGCGCCCAGTGGCTGCTCACCAAGCACTCGGTGTTACTGAGAACTTCCTGTGACGTGGTGGCTGGGTGTCCTGCAGTCATTCTACACAAAGCATAGGAGGAGACACTTTCTGGCATCCTCCAAGCTGTGGGCACCAGGGTCCTATAGTGTGGCAAAGGACATTATTCCCAGAGAAGTAATGGATGGGACAAAGAGGATAGGTTTTGAAATTGAAGAGATCTGTTGGTCCCTGGGTACAGAACAGTCTTCCAAAGGTGCCCTTGTGGCACCAGGCTGGTCCTATAGGCAGTGCTATAGGCAGTCCTATAGGCAGTGCTTCAGCAAGGTCCTATGGGCACTTGCTGAAGGCCACACAGGAAGTTCCTGTCATGTTTGTGGCACTCAAGAGACCATTATTATCTACCTCCCCTCCATGACAAAGATGAGCTAAATGGACCAGCAAGCCCCTTTCCTCCAGCCCTGGAGGGCACAGCTGACCCATAAGGTCCTTTCTAGGGTACCAGATGAATGGCTATTTAGGGAGATTGCCATAAAATTAAATTGAATTGGCCCAATTTCTCTGCAGCCAGTTTGAGCCTCCTCTTGGGGCCTGGACACTGGTGGGGTGGTAGACTTTGGGCTGGATGGGGTCTGACCAAAGCCTTTACCTGCAGGAGCAGGCAGAGGCCGAGACGGCTGGGGAGGAACGTGGGCGCATCCTGCTGTCCCTGTGCTATAGCTCCCAGAGGGGGGGCCTGCTGGTGGGCATTCTGCGCTGTGCCCACCTGGCCCCCATGGACGCCAATGGCTACTCTGACCCCTTTGTCCGCCTGTGAGTGAATTGGTAGATGGGTGGGCAGGCAGGACAAGGTGGCAGTTCCTCACCTCTCCAGGGACACACCTGACCTGCCCATCTCCTCAGTTTCCTGCATCCAAACTTGGGGAAGAAATCTAAATACAAGACCAGTGTTCGGAGGAAGACCCTGAACCCTGAGTTCAATGAGGTGAGCCAGGGCTAAGCAGGGCCCAGCCACACTTGGCCTTGACTGCTGAGCCACCCTGGCCTGGGCCTGTTTCTGAGATTCGTCTGCTCCCTCCTGCCCCTTTCCCTGCAGGAATTCTTCTACGCAGGCCCCAGAGAGGAGCTGGCCCAGAAGACACTGCTGGTGTCTGTGTGGGACTATGACCTGGGCATGGCAGATGACTTCATCGGTGAGCAGGAATGTGGGGCACTGGGGGGAGCCCTATGGGCTCCTGCCAACCCTGATCCGTGTCCCTGGTAGGTGGGGTGCAGTTGAGCAGCCAGGCCAGCGGGGAGCAACTACGCCACTGGTGTGAGTGCCTGGGTCACACAGACCACCGGCTGGAGCTGTGGCACCCGCTGGACGGTGTGCCCCACCAGCTTGGTGACAAGCCAGTACAGGATCCTGCTTGCAGACCTGCCCCACAGTGGCCAGGACACCCCTGAAGCTGGGAGGATCCAGGGGACTGCCCCACCTGCTGTACCCATTCCCTTGACCCAGGGACATTTCCTATCCCCTTTCACACTCACCCCACCACAAAGCCAAAATAAACACCTCTGACCACACCAGATCTGTCTTCTCGAGTCACACACCCCACCTCCCCTGCCATCACCTTACGGGGCAGACAGATGCCGTTCTCCTGTCTCCCACTTTCCAGAGGCCTGTGCCAAACCAGGCTCCCAGTCCCCACCACATTCTGCTTCCTACATTGAGGGAGGGGGATGCGACCACATCTTGAGAGCAGGACTGAGGAGTGGCAGGGAATGGCAGGGTGAAGAGCAAAGTCACAGATGTGCTACAGTAGGAGAATGGGTAGCACTTGCTTTATTGTCCAGTATCCAGACAGGAATGCAAGGCAGCAGGCCGGGGTTTGGGCTCAGGAAGCAGCCTGTCGGGCCTGGTGCTGCTGGGCAAACCGCTGCATCCGATCCTCAAGCTCTGGACGAAAGTGGCGGATGAGACCCTGGGAGAAAGGAGGAAGGCACTGGGTGAAACAGAATCCAAAAATCTCCCCGTCCTAGGCTCTCAGCACTGCCCACACCAGTGACGCATGGCAGCTCCATGCATACCTGTACAGGCCAGGCGGCCCCATCGCCCAGAGCACATATGGTGTGGCCCTCTATCTGCTTGCTGATCTCCCACAGGGAATCGATCTCAGCTGGCCGAGCGTCCCCCCTCACGAAGCGAGCCATCACCTTGTTCATCCAGTCCACACCTGAGGCCATAGCAACAGGAGAGGGCCCGATGGTCTCCCCAGCCAGGGCACACGCTGGGGTGGAAGCTAAGTGGAGCCGAGGCCAGCACACCCCAAGTTGCCCAGGTGCTCACCCTCGCGGCACGGGGTACACTGGCCGCAGCTCTCGTGCTTGTAGAACTCAATGAGGCGGGCAATGGCTTTCACGATGTCTGTCTGGGAGACAAGGGACAGTGAGCAGGTGCCCCTACAGCACCCCAGTGAAATGCTCTGGCTTCCAGTGGACTCTCCTGCAGGGTGGCCTTGCTACCCTCCTCTCCTTCCTCACAACAGCTCAGGCTGTGACAGCAGGAAGCTGAGAGCTGGCCAGAGGGTTTTCAGAGAGGCCCGGGGAGGGAGGCTGTGGCCAGGCAGCACAGGGAGCACCAGCCAGGTGTGAGGGCCACCCTTAGCACCCTTACCGAGCGGTCCATGACGATCACCGCCGCTGTGCCCAGGCCTGTCTGAGCCTGCACCAGGGCGTCGAAGTCCATCAGCACCGTCTCACATACAGACTTGGGGATCAGTGGGGTGGACGAGCCGCCAGGAATCACAGCAAGGAGGTTGTCCCAGCCACCGATGACACCCCCTGGGGCCCCAAGTTAGTCCCCAAAAGGATGATGGTCAGGGCTGGGCTGGCACACCTGCCGAGACCTGAGCCTGGACCTTTGTCAGCCCCAGCCTGAGGTCCTCCCACTGGGCTCTCTTCGTGGACGCCCACCACACCCCTCAGGGCTGGCCCCCAGCCTCACCAGCGTGCTTCTCTATGAGCTCCTTCAGCGGAACAGACATCTCCTCCTCCACAGTGCAAGGGTGGTTGACGTGGCCAGAGATGTTGAATAGTTTGGTACCCGAGTTGCGTTCTCGGCCAAAACTGGCAAACCAGGCACCCCCGCGGCGACAGATGGTGGGGGACACAGCCACTGTCTCCACATTGGCTACGGTTGTGGGGCAGCCAAACACTCCTTCAGGGAAATGAGAAAAGAGACATAGCCGCAAGGGAGTGGCCAGGTTTCCTGGCAGTGGGATTTGTGGGTCCTGCTCCGGGGGAGGGCTCCTGCTCTTTTATCCCTTAACATTCTCACCCGCCACTGGACCCCAAACTCCAGAGGAGCCGTATTGTCTGCTCACCACCATGCCCCGGCTCCAAGAGCAGATACTGCCAAGGCACAGAGTTTGAAGGGGCTTGGGTGTCTAATGTGGGGCTGAGACAGGGTGGCACAGGGAGCCTGTGCATTGTTATCACCCTCCTCTCTCCATCTAGCCTGGAAGGCACTCAGAAATACCATAAGAGCCCCTGAGGGGGACTCCACAGGACAGCCACAACAAGCCCAGGGCTGGAGGGCTTACCTACATCTGCTGGGAAGGGTGGCTTCAGGCGTGGCTTGCCCTGCTTGCCCTCGATGGACTCAATCAGGGCCGTCTCCTCTCCACAGATGTAGGCCCCAGCCCCACGCACCACAAACACATCAAAATCGTAGCCAGAGCCACAGGCATCCTTGCCAATCAGGCCTGCCTCATAGGCCTCTCGGATGGCTACCTGTGGGACAAGGGTGTCAGCCTTGTAATTTCAGGAATCATGGAGCCCCTGAAGGCTTCCCAAGGTGAGGTTCTGGAGCATAAAGGAAGAGCCCAGAGAAGGGGGCTTTAGGAACCAAGTCCTGATCAGGATACATGCAGAAGTGGTCACTCCTCTCCCAGGTGGACCCCTGACAGACCAGTGCTAATAACTAAGATCAGCTGTGCTGGGGAAGGGCATGCAAGTTCACGCTGGCCACCTTCTGCTTGTCAATACTCCCTTTGCCCACCTGCAGATTGGACGCCTCATTGTAGAATTCCCCACGAATGTAGATATAGGCAGCACGGGCGCCCATGGCCCGGCCCCCCACCAGACAGCCTTCCACCAGCTTGTGAGGATCGTGGCGCATGATCTCCCGGTCCTTACAGGTGCCTGGCTCCCCCTCATCTGCATTCACTACCAGATACTTGGGCCTGTGGGAGCCTGCAGGTCAGTCAGGCTACAGGCCCACCAGGACTGAGTCCTCCACCACATCCATCCCTGCTCCTCCCAGAGGCTTCAAAGATGTCTCCACCAATAGTCGATCCCTCTCTACCCTCCCAACATGTCCCCAGGGGCTCTGCTTACTCACCACCAATGACAGGGAGCTCACTGCCTGATCCATCTTTGGGCAGATATGACCATAGGAAAGGTCTCTGTTCTGCTTAGCCCAATACTATCTCCCCGTGTTTTCCCTTGAGAGCCAAATTCTGCTCTTGGTTACAAAGAGCATTCCTCAACCTTCACATCTCTGGGGCCAAAGGAGGCAAAGTAGCTGATTTTTATTATTTACTTTCTGTGTACTAACTAAAGTACAGGCAAAAGCCAAATGAACATTATCTCTTTGGTTCCAGCAGGATATCCCATATCCATGAACAAAAAGGAAACACGAGGTTCGCAAAAGATTTCCCAAAGCTCTAGACTTACTAGAAGGTAGAACTGGGATTTGAACAGCGGAGCCTGCCTCAATATCTCGTATTGACTATGCTAGACCACAACACCTCCCCCAAGGAAGCCCAAAGAGAACTGGAGTCCCATCCACTTTCGACCTGGGAACGTATTCTTGCCTCATTCATGCTACAATGTCTAAGGCCACAGTCCTAAGGGTCAGACAAGCCCCAGCCACCCACAAGGTCTCTCCTGCGACCATGTCTCAGGCTCCCCTCACATACCTGCCATCTGAAGGCTTATTCATGAAGCTCCACTTGAGCCCAGTGGGGAAGCCAGCACCTCCACGGCCCCGCAAGCCTGATGCCTTAATCTCACCCAGAATCCAGTCGGGCCCCTTCAGCAGGATCTCCTTTGTCTTATACCAGTCACCTCGACTCTGGGCGCCTTTCAGCCTAGACAGGGTGAGGAAGACAGTGAGGGGAAGGCCCTGGCAAGGAATTCAATAGGCTAAGGACACTGTCTCACCTCCAGTCATGACGGCCATACAAGTTGGTGAAGATGCGGTCTTCATCCTTCAGTGAGCCAAATGTGGTTTTCTTGGGTGCTGTCTGAGGAGACCGAGTGTCAGGAGACCCAGCAGAGCTCTGGGGGCCAAGAGGGGTTGGGCCAGAAGCTACAGATTCTTGGGTCCTCCTGCTTAGGAGGGGCTGGGCCAGGGAAGGCAGAGGCCTAAGCCTCAAAACTTTTTGAAATGTTACACCTACCACCATCACTTAAGCACTTCCTGCACAGAGATACTGGCCTAAGCACTTTACAGCTGGAGCCTCAATTTATCCTCATGACAACACTGAGATAGGAATGATTTCTTTCATTTTGCAGAGAAGTAAACTGAGGCTCAGAACAAAAGGAACTTATGAAAGGTCACGCAGCCAAAAGTAGCAGACGGTTCTTTGTTTTAGTTGTAGGTGGACACAATACCTTTATTTATTTATTTTTACGTTGTGCTGAGGATCGAACCCAGGACCTCACACGTGACAGGTCAGCGCTCTGCCACTGCGCCCCAGCCCCAGCAGATGGTCCTTGAGTCCACCTTTTTTCATGGCCTGGCACCAAACTGCCTCCCAAAGCCCAGAATGACAGCATCTTACCAATGGTACTAAGGGCAAAAAGTGTTTACTGAGAGGAAAAAAATGCCCCACCGGGGCTGGGACAAGGGGCCGGAGGGGACCCCCTGGGATAAAATTGAGGGGCGGGGACTGGGAATCCACGTGACTAGCGGAGAGCACCCAGCTCCCGGCTAAGAGGACCTGACTTTCTGACTTTCGTCCCCTTAAAAGCGCTTCTCGGTCACGAGGGAGCAGAGCCTGGAGGAGGAACCCGGAGGTGTGCATCCCCCTCCGAAGCTGCCTTCTGCATCTACAGAACGGGGCCTTGACCCCTTCCCACCCGACGACGCTGCAAGGAAGGGACGCGAGACTAGGATGCTTCACAACCCGCACAACTTCCCGCTAGGCCTGTGAGACCAGCGGGCAGGGAGCCGCACTGCGCGTCGGCCTCCGCTGCACCGTGCCCTCCTGCTTCCCGCCGGGCCCGGGGAGAAGGGAAGGGCTCTGCAGAAGGCACCGCAGACTCCAGGCACGCACGGCGCGCGGAGGCCCGCGGATGCCCTGGGCCCGATCCCGGCCGGGCCTCACCGTTTCGCTGCTGAAACGCACAGAGAGCCGCGCTGGGAGCGACCCGCCAAGCAGCCGTCGTGCCACCAGCATTGCGGGGGCCAGGCCGGTCACCTCCGGCTGTCACCTTCACGGCTCAGAGGCTGAGGAACCAGCGCCACAGAGACGTTAGGCGGCGCACAGGAAGAGCGTCACGCGCCCCGGGCCGGCGGCGCGCCCAGGCACCCCCGCGCCTCCCGACTCCGCCCCTTCCCCGCCCACTAGGGCGGGAAGAGTTCAGGGAGTGGCCTGGCTGGCGCTGGGGCCTCTGGGAGATGTAGTCCCTCTGGCCTCAGGCCGCTCTCCTCCCTCCGCGTGCAGTCGTTTGCCAGTCAGCTGCCAGCCGCGGTTCTTTCACACGCCTAGTAAACAAACCTATCACGTGGACTTCTGTGAGGTCCTGGTGTGTTTCACTTCCTATAGGCTCCGTGTTTGGTGTGCACCTGCTGTATGCACTTGGGGGGAGGAAGGAGGAATCAGGCCGGTCACAGCCAGATCCTCATGACTCCGAAGTCTTGGTGCTGCCCCAGTCCCAGCCCTGCCGGACTGAGCCTTCACCCCCACCCCGGGCATCCGTGTGCCGAGAAAGACTGCTCATTCGCCGCAGAGAGCCCGGCCGGCTCCAGGGCTGGCGAGGTCTTCCCAGGGGGTGCGGCTGCAGCCCTGGCTGGAGTGAGGCAGAGACAAGAGATGGTCGGAAGGTGGCCCAACCCCTTGCCGCGCCGCTGAGCTCTCTCGGCCCTTGTCAGGAGGGTCCAGCACCTCGTGCTCCTGCTCAAATTCCCGGAACGGCCCCTCCTGCCTTCGGAATCAAGCCCTGGCTTGACTTTTAAGGGCTCCACCGCCCCTTCCTCCGCCTAAGCCCCTGCTGCGATCCCCGACACCGTTCCTGGCCTCAATAGGCTGTAGAGGGTTTTGTGGCCGTCCCCCTCATCCAGTTTTGTCCTCTGTCCTTTTGGTAATCCAACTTGGTCATTTTCAGTTGTGTGCACCCCTCAGCTCTGGGAACATGCCCTGGTCCCCATGTAAGACTGTCCTTTTGGTCTTCTCTGCYGGCTCAGTCTTCCAGTCCTCATGGGAAGGAACCCTGTCCTTTCTTCTCCTGGGCTGTAATCATCCTTTCTTACCCCTCTAGAAACGTGCCATCTGATATACCTAGCCTAGTTATCTCATTAGATTAGAAGCCAGCTTGTCACAAGTTATGAAGGATTCATTTCTGTTTTCTGTAAAAATATCAGGATGTCTGTATGGCCTGGCCATTAGTTGATGTTGTAGAGCTGATTGGAATGCCTGCCCGTGCCCTGAACTCACCCAGGTCCGGTTTTCCCTGACCATATAACAACCCTTTCCTAAACCTTAGTGACGCCTCATAAATTCTGGCCCTCCCTGGCCGGACAATGACCCTCTCTGAGTCTCTAAGATCTCCATAAATTCTGATGCCGGGGCCAGCAAAAATGTAAACTTGTGTTATGCTCCTCAGAGTGTTGTTATCTGTAACCCCCTTTGTGTAACTTTTTGGGCTATAAAACTGGGCCACAAAGAAGCCTCGGGGCTGTCTTGTTCCCGCCGTTTTGGGAGGGAAAGGCAGCCCGGCCGGTCGAAATAATAAGCTTGCTTTAATTTGATTTTAATTGGAGTCAGTGGTCTTTTCTTGCGTCCTGGTCTAACACCATCTACAAAACTCATCCACACCGTTTCCCGTGAACTCCCCACAGCACCCCTCCATGGTGTTAACTCCATTTTGTACATGAAAACACTGAGGCCCAGGAGCTTCCTCCTTTGTCCCCGGGAGTCCGAGGACTGGTGGGGATGGCCCGGCACCCAGGCCTACTGTCCTTCCCAGAGTGCTCACACTGCAATCCTGCAGCACAACTGACCGGCTGTGACAGTCCCTGTGGGTGTCAGTGATGCTCCCCAGAGGCACCAGGAGCACCCCTGCCCTTCTGAAGTTTCGCAGATGGTAGAGCAGGACCAGCCCAGACCCTCTGCTCTGGGCAGGGACAGAGATTGTCTAGGCATAGATGGGGATTACACAGCTAATCCAGGGCTCGGGGCAGAAGGAGGGGAGCAGGATGAAGCCAGAGGGTGAATGCCTTCCTTTTCTTTCTCTCGGTCAGCCAAGGGGACAGAACTGCAGGGAGAAGCAGACTAGGCTGATGGAGACGGGAGGTGCTGGGCACCGGCTGATGGAAATGGAGGCCGAGAGGCAGAGTCCCCATGTTCCTTCAGGGCCAGGCTCTGGGCCAAGTAGTGGTCTGTGTTATTCCCTTAATCCTCCCACACCCAGAGCGTGGGAATGATGAGCCTCTGTTTGCAGAAGCAGTATATCCACAGCGCCAAGTGGCCTGCCCAGGATGCACTGCGTCTGGCCTGCCCAAGACTTCAGGGCTCAGGCAGAGGTTCCCGACAGTAAATCCCCATTAGGTCCCCCCTCACCTAGAGCACCTACTTGCTAGGCTCCCCAGGTGAAGAGGAGGTCCCTCCAGTGTCACCTCTTAGGCACTGTCCTCTGTGGTGTCCCAGGCCCTGACTCTCACCTCTTCCTTAGCACCCATCCCAGCCTGTCTGCCTCTGTAACCAGCATCCATTCCACCATGCGACCAGCGCACTGGTTTCATTAATGAGGTTCTTGGCATAAAAGTTAACTAGTGAGATCGAAATAAACACACAGACTCAGTTACCTTTTTCTATGACCAGGTCTGAGACGGCTCCCCCTCTGGTTCTCACCTTGAACCACCTGGTAGGGCAGCAGGGATTACTCAGGGCTAGCAGGAGAGAGAGAGGGAGCACACCAGGGAGTAGCCTTTTATTGGGGAACAAGAAATTCCATCCAATGAAGGTTGAGGGGGGCCGCACTCCAAGGTCAGGGTCAGTGATTGGCCCCCGGGGTCAGTGGTCAGTCATACTCCCACACGGACAGGCTCTCGCACCAGGAGAGGGTGGGGGAAAGCTCCAACACAGTTTAGCCAGAGCGCCTCAGACCCAAACCGGGAGTTGCCCAGTCACGTGTGAGAATGGCTCTCCACAAGCACCCATCCAGCATCCAGGCCAGAAATTAGGAAGCATCAGGGAAGCCTCCTGGTCCCACAGGTTCCAGATCTATGGCATCCGCCAGTTCTACCTTCCAAACATGGCCTGTGTCATCAGGTCTGCTTATCTCTCACCTGTAATTTGCAAAGCCTCCTGGGGTATCCCAGCCTCATCTCTTGGCCCCTTCAATGTCTTCTCTGCAAATATGGAACCAGTGGACATACTGTAAATTTCAGACACATTTTGCCTGAGACTGTGGTTCTCCGCTGTCCTCAAGTCAAAACCCAGGGCTCTTGGTCTGGTGTCCAAACCCCTGCAGCCCAGCTCCAGTGCATCTAGTTGGGCGCACGGGGATCTGTCTTCTACTTTCTCCTTCTTCTTGTTCCTCCTGAGGAGCCTGTTGGCTGTCGCCTCCCCCAGCAAACTTTCTTCGGCCACAGGATTAACTGTCTTGGTAACTAGCATCACAGGCCCAGGCGACCGAGGAAGGCACGATCAGGTCTCTCTTCTTCAACCCCCGTGCAGAGCTCGAGGAAAGTGCTGATTCGATACCGTAATTGAGTTTTATATTTGGAAAATGAAAATTTGTTTTCTTTAGTTGGAAATTTAAGAATTTCCAGGAAAGCCAAAATAGTAATCTGTTTTTACCACCTAGATTTTAATGCATTGTCATTTGGGGCGTTTGCATTCTGTTTTCTGGGTGATTTTAAAATGCTTCAAATAGCATATAAATATTCTGATCTCTAAAAATTTAGAGCTTCAAAGAAAAAACTAAAAGTCACTCTCCCTGTCCAATTTCTTTTTCTTTTTTCTTCTTTTTTTTTTTTTTTTTAGTACCAGCGACTAAACCCGGGGCACTTAACCACATCCCCAGCCCTTTTTATTTTTTATTTTGAGACAGGGTCTCACTAGGTTGGTTGCTTACAGCCTGGCTAAATTGCTGAGGCTGACTTTGAACCTGTGATCCTCTTGCCTCAGTGTCCTTAGCCGCTGGGATTATAGGCGTGTGCCACCCACCACGTCCAGCACCAAATGGTTTAGGATCTTGACAGGGAGTATGAGGTCTGCTGAAGCTTTTGACAGATGCCTTGATCATGTTAAGAAAATTTCCATCCAAGAGCGAAGTTTTACTGAGTGGTGTTGAGCTGCTTCGACTACAGTTGAGATTATGTTGTTTTCCCTCTTTAATCTGAGGTTAACAACATCAATCATTTTACTAATCTTTTGAACTATTATTGACCTAAAGAGGAGGCTGTGAGGCTGTGAGAGCAGAGACAGAAGGCGGTCAGGATTAAGGCAAGTGCTCTACCACCGAGCCACACCCCAGCCCCTGATTTAGCTTTTTAATCCATGTTCTACAGGAGAGAGCTTGTTTCCTCTAGGATTTTGCCCAGTTTTGCTTCAGTGTCCTGCTGGCCGCTTACAACAGGGTGGGCCGCTTTTGCCTTTTCCTATGTACTGGGAGTGTTTGCTGAGGGCAAAGCTGAGCCATTCCTGCATCATGTCTAGGACTGACTATAAGCCCCCGGAGCTGGCACCTTGCTGACCACTGTTTGTACTTCTTATATGAACTTATCTGTTTCCTTGAGCCAATTTTGACCAGAAAATTTAAAAGAACATTCTCTTATTGGATTATTTATTTTTCCAATATGAAGCATTTCTCTGTGTCTCCACATTTTTTATTGGTGCGTTGTAATTGCACACAATGTTGAGATTTGTTGTTACCTATTAACTGTACGTGTACACAATAGAACAATATAATTTGGCCAATTTGATTCTCCAGCACTTTCCCCTTATCTCTCTCTCCCCCTCTCTTCTATTTTTTGGTCCTGGGGATTGAACCTGGGGAACTCTACCCCTGAGTCATATCCCCAGCCCTTTTTATTTTTTGAGACAGTGTCTTGCTAAATTGCTGAGGCTGGCTTTTAACTTGTGATCCTCTTGCCTCATCCTCCAGAGTTACTGGGATTACAGGCCTGTGTCACTACGCCTGTCAGTATCTTTGAATAATTTTGCCTCAAGTTCTATGTTCTCTTGCTTTTGCATGCTTTTTGCCTCAAGGTCTATGTTCTCTTGCTTTTGCATGCTTTTTTTTTTTTTTTTTTTGGTAGTGCTGGGGACTGACCCCA